CATCTGGTGGACACTCCCCTAGGGACCAGATGGGAGACTGGGACAATTGAAGTACAGTGGCCAATCACAGTGGCCCAGGCATAAACACTCCCCTTTGTACAGGTAAATCCCTCCTCTCTATGCTGGAGATAATTGGGAAGAAATCCAATTATCTCCAGGGATAGAAGTAAATTGCCATTTTACATAGCATAATAAAAACACATAAAAATCAATAACTGTAAAACTACCGAATGCTTCTAGTTTGTGTAACGTATCCCCAGATAGCCTGGGTCTGAGTGCACATAACTACCGAATAGCGCTCAGACCCAATGCACACAGTTCAATCGCCATGGAGTCAAAGTCTTTCACATTGCTCTTTCGGTATATGATTGACTCCATGGGATGACTATCTGGGTTAAGTCCATTCGTGTAATAAACCTCCCAAACAGACCGGTGTTTGCATGCCCGTGGATAAGAAGGGTGGTCGGCAGCTTCAGCGGTGTTCGGTAGAAAAAGTGTCCGTTTTTAGTTACATAAGTTCTTCGTCGAACACCGCTGTTCATTCACGTGTTTAAAGTGGCTGCCGCCTCATGGTCGGCATATGAACGACGACCACCCTGCATATGGTTAGAATGAAGAGGTGTCTGCGGTTAACCACAACATTCTAATTGAGGCCAATAGGTTAACCAGCAGCACACTTCTCTTCTGGGTGGCCGTCCATTCGGTAGTTTTATTCTGTATATTTTGCAATAAACGAACAGGGGCATACGGGCAGGTAATTCCATGAATGTAGACAAAACAGACGAACCAGCAAAATAGAATTTAGACAGATGGATCTGTCACACTCATATATCTAGATCGGTGTTCAGGCCAGAGGGAACAGAGGTTTTCAACCTATAAATCCATTCTGTTTCCCTCATGGCCAACATTTTTTTCCATGTCACCACCTCTCCAGTGTGGGGCGATCACATCAATACCGACATATGAAATATTTCTAGTTAAAATCTTTACAATTCGTACAGTGTTTCGGGACACTATGTTTCACACTCTTCTTATTTATGCCGTTAAAATGCTCTAAAAATCTTACGTGCAGTTTCCTGATAGTGCGTCCCACACATTGGATACTGCACTTACATTGCAAAAGATATACTTTAAGTTGGCTTTTGCAATTAATAAAGTGTTTTATATTAAAAACTTCCTTTGTAACAAAGCTTTGGAATTGCGTAGTTTTACTGGCCCGATATTTACAAGTACTGCACCTTCCACATTTAAAAAAACTTTTAGGTTTGAGGTTAAAAAATTATTAAAACCTTTCTTTTCATCTTCTTTTTTAGGCAAGACACTCGAAGCTAAAATATTTTTCAGATTATTTGTTTTTTTGTAAATCACTTTGGGCTTTTGTGGCAGAATCTTTTTCAGATATTTGTCCTGCATTAGGATCGGCCAATTTTTTTTGATTGATCTTTCTATCAGGTGTGATTTACTATTAAATTTGGTTAATGTAACGGATCGACGGGCACCCCAAATGGGTACCTCCTAGTGCTGCCTGAAGGCTCCAAGCACTCCAGCCAACACCATAACCACTGTAGACTCCTTCAGAGAGCAAACACAGGGAAAAGCTCTTATAAGAGCTTAGTGATTATATCAAGAGCGTATGACAAGCATAGCAATCCCTTGTAGCAGATTCCCCCAATAAGAGACAGGCCTCTAAATTAGGGTGAAGTAGAACTGACTCCAATGAACGTTTATTCCTGCTTATATACAAGTTTCCCAGCAAGGTTACCACCTACGTGGACCTTGGGGAACACTGAAACTGTACACTTTGCGACCAATCAACAACGTACAATACAGTTAAACACTCTTCATTCCAGCAAAATCCTCCCCTCTGCCTGTGATATAATTACTGTACACAATGGGTTAATGTAATTATCACAGGCAGGAAAATTCAGTTTTTATACAATTCTTATAACTTTAAAAGTATACATGCAATATTGATAGTTACATATTGGAAATAAGCGTACAACAAATATAAACATATCTAAAAATCAGACAATTCCCTCCAGTGGTTTAAAAGTTAGATGGAAGTCCTTTTTGACAGACCGCATGCACATTTTCATGCCCAAAACAGTTCCAGAGATTCAGGCTGTGCGGCTGGTCTATTTCCCATGTTAAAGTCAGTTCAAACAGACGAATGACAACCATTCGAATTGTCAAATGAACTGTCGAATGGCGTTTTTAAATTGTCGAATGCATTAGTTCCAGGGAAGGTAAAACTTCAGCGGTGTTCGTGCCATTTTGTAGCCGATTTTAGTGCCATGAATTTGGCGGCACACACCGCCGAATGCGTTCAACTAACAAAGATGGCCACTGCCACGTGTTCGACTGCACGAACGGAGGCCACCCAGTGGTCGGCAATTAACCTGTGGTTAACCACCAGCCTGGGAGGTTAATTAGCTGCACACTTCCACTTCTGTGTGGTCAGTCTGTGTATTAATTGGTTCAGTAAGCCCCATTTACCGAACCATATGGGAAAAAGCCATGTACAAGTTATTTTCACAGTCTGGGTACGCTGGGAACATAGATTTAAAGGGGCATTGTAGCAATCCTCACTATGTCCCAAAAATGTGCTTAAAGGGCCAGCACCAGTCCAAGAAAAGTCCATAAGCCCAAATAAGAGTTTTAAAGGGCTATACACCCAGGGCCATAGTCACAGGGCAAGAGGCTTGAAATCAGGCCTCTCCAGGACCAAGTGGTGAAGGGCACTTCGTCACACAGCTCCCCTTTGGGGGGGAGACTAACCAGACACCTGACCTCCTGTCAGTCAGTGCCTAAGTTAGTCGATCCACCCATCCACAATAAGCAAGTGCCAGAATAGCCCACCCACAATAAACAGGTACGAGAGCAGCCCACCCACAACAAACAATTACGGCACCTGGGTATTCCTCCAGGGTAACTGGGCAATATACTGTGGGAGCTTGGGGGGCAGAGGCCAGCTGTGCTCTGCCCCGATGCCAGCGCTTCTGCTGGGGTAGCCTGGTTGGGACTTGGCTGGGGAGGGGAGATATCACTTACCCACTCCTCCTGGAATCCTGGTCAAGGTAGTTGGGTATATGGACCAGCTGTCCAGCATCCCTGTAGGTCGGGCACAGAGACCACGGTCCGATCTGTGCTGTTTGGGAAATTGGTGTCTCCCCTTGGTAGGGTATGCTGCCGCTGGATAGAGAGGGTGCTGTGCTCCTTTCCCTGAAACACAGGCTGCCACTGGAGAGGGAGGCCGACTTTCTCCACTCCCATAACATTGTCCTGCTGCTGGGGAGAGAGACCAACTGTCTCTGCTCCCTGTAGGACACACTGCTGCTGGGGGGGAAGGACGACACCTTTGGCCCCCTGAGATGCATATTGCCACTGGGGAGGGAGACCGATTGTCTCCACTCCTGGTAGGGAACACTGCCGCTGGGGAGAGAGGCCGGCTGCCTCCTTTCCCTGCAGGATACACTGCTGCTGGGGAGAGAGACTGGTTGTCTCCTCTCCCTGGGACTCACTCTGCCGCTGGGAAGTGAGACTGATTGCCTCCACTCCCTGTAGGGGCCACTGCCACTGGGGAGAGAGGCCGGTTGCCTCCTCTCCCTGCAGAACACACTGCTGCTGGGGAGAGAAACTGGTTGTCTCCTCTCCCTGGGACTCACTCTGCCGCTGGGGAGGAAGGACATCACCTTCGTCTCCCTGAAAATCACACTGCCGCTGGGGAGGAAGGACGACACCTTCGCCTCCCTGGGATTCACACTGCCGCGGGTGATGAAGGACGAAACCTTCGGCTCCCTGTAACTCACCCTGCCACTGGTAGGAAGTACGACACCTTCGGCTCCCTGGGATTCACACTGCCGCTGGGGAGAGAGACCGGTTGAGAGGTCGATGCTTTCCTCTCCATATAACTTACTCTGGGGTTGGGGATCTGGGCCGAATGCCCCGCATCCCTGTAGGGCTGGTAGAGAGACATCAGGCCCATTTTTACCTGCCATTGGACGCTCTTCCCGGGACCCATTGATGAGTTGCAGGTAATCCCACTCCAGGCTCCATTTCCTGGTGACCAGATACCGCAGGTCTGCCTCTAGAGAGACCCAGCACTATAGAGACCCAGCATGTCTTATCGGTTGTAATACAGGTCCCAAAAGTGTGAGTCGGTAGCCTTTCCGAAGTCGTCATTGTTCACATTATTCCAGAGTAGGCCAGGGCCATTGTAATCCCCACTATCAGGGAAATTATACTCAGCCATCTCAGGAACAAGCTGAGCTGCATACCATTGTAGTGCTTGGTATGCGTCGTCAAAACACAATTCGTCAGATACTAGAACCATTATACAGCAACCCACGCTTCCAGGGGCTGTTTTCCCAGGAGGGGCATCCGCCTTGCCATTCAAGCCAGGATCCACTGACTTCTGCTGCAGCGCTGATCACCTCGCCAATACTGCACTTCCTCCAGGGCTTCATCCCACAGTTTGTCTCTGGCAGTCTCTCTGTACCTCAACATGTCCTCCTCTGATACCGCTCCATGCCCCAGGGTTACGAAACTATGCAATCTATCCTGAAGCTTCTCCTCCATTTTCTGAGTTCCTTTGTAGGTAAGGGGCGCTGCAGGAATACTAGCGTTGCCCTCAATTTGTAAAGCCACATGTTACAGGTGTCTCTGAGCTGCTTCTCCTCGCATTAGGATGCCATCCCACTTCTGCCACCAATGTAACAGATCGACGGGCACCCTGACTGGGTACCTCTGTTGAAGGATGCTCCTAATGCTTCCTGAGGGTTCCAAGCACTCCAGCTGACACCACAACCACCGTAGACTCCTTCAGAGAGCAAACACAGAAACAAGCAAGAGAGTATGGCAAGCATAGCAACCCCTTGTAGCAGATTCCCCCTAATAAGAAACAGGACTCTAAATTGAGGGTGAAGTAGAACTGACTCCAATGAGCATTTATTCCTGCTTATATACAAGTTTCCCAGCAAGGTTACTGTGACGAGACCAATCTTACCACTGTGCATTGGAGGAGCCTGGTTGCCCGCCTGCTGCCTTTAGACTATGGCCCCATGTTAAAAGGTTTGATTTTCCCCTGCAAAGACATGAAAGCCGGGTCATTTGGTGCTTGCCCTGTTTGAGCGGTGATACGCCAGATAGCTATGTCATGGAGCCCATTCGTATAATGAAAGACTATGGCAAAGACTTTGGCTCCATGGCAATTGAACTGTATGTGTGTGCTCTGAGCGCTATTCAGTAATAATGTGCGCTCAGATCTGAGCTATCTGGGGATATGTTGAATGTACTTGTTTTGTGCAATGGCTGCACAGTTATATGTTTTTATGTGTTTTATTGTCTTTTGCTGCCATGTGTTCAATGGAGTTTTGCCTCTGTCTTTGGAGATAATTGGATTACTTCCCAATTATCTCCAGGATAGAAGACTCTGTGGAACTGGTTTTGGGCAGAAAAGCCATGCTTCCTTTGATCACAAAGGACTACGATCTATCTTTTGAACCACTGGACCAATTTGGATGATTGTGACATATGTTTGTATTTGGAGTATGCTGATTCTGAAATGTAAGTTTTATGTGAATGTGATGCATACTTTTCAAGTTATGAATAATGTGGAAAAATTTTATTTCTCTGCTTGTTATAATTACATTACCCATTGTGTAAGGTAATTGTATCACAGGCAGAGGGGAGGATTTTGTGTGGGAGTGTCTGAGTGTATTGTATGTGTTTATTGGTTGTGTTCCAAAACCCTATGGGTGGTACTAATGTGTAAGAATGTGTACATAAGCACAATAAACCCACAGCTCTGACTGTTCACTGCTTGACCCTCAACACGGAGCTTTGTCTCATTCTTGGGGGGATTTATTGTATGCTGTTCCAGTTCGACTGCTAGGAGTGTAAACCTATTCGGATGGTTTTTCCTATTCGGCTGTTTACGGCATTCGTATGGTTTTCTGTTCGGCGGATTGGTGTTCTGCGGTAGCTGTGCCTGTGTCTCTGGAAGGGGAAGATCTTCCAAATGGCGGTTTAACCCTTTTATGCCTGGGGGTGCCGTTACATAGAGCATGTAGTGTGTATATAAACTGAGGCTGAGTCTATATGGTAACTATACCTAGCACATAAAAGTGGATGCATATACTGAAACTGATTCCCTACATCAACGTGTCGTAGAGACTATAGTAGATTCATATAGAGAGGCAGAGACCTCATAATAACTCATACATAGAGCCTCTAGTGGATACATATACTGATGGCTGAGTTCTCACATTAACTCATCTATAGTAACTCATACAAAGCTCACATCAACTCATCATAGAGCATATATACAGAGGCTGTCCTCATAATAACTCCTACATAGATCATCTAGTGTATACTTATACTGAGGCTGAGCCCTCCTAGTAACCCATACATAGAGCATATAGTGGATATATATATATATATATATATATAGAAACTGAGACCTCACAGCAATTCGTCATAGCGGATACATATACTTCTCCCAGCAACTTGTCATAGGGCATATAGTGGGTACATATACTGCTCACAGTAAATCATACATAGAGCATATAGTGGATATCTATATAGAAACTGAGACCTCACAGCAATTCATCATAGAGCAAATAGCGGATAAATATACTACTCACAGCAACTCGTCATAGCTCACAGTGACTCATACAAAGAGCATATAGGGGGATATATATATAGAAGCTGAGTCCTCACAGCAACTTGTCATAGCATATAGAGGGTACATATACTGCTCACAGTCACTTGTCATAGAGTATATAGTGGGTACATATACTGTTCACAGTAACTCATACATAGAGCATATAGTGGATACATATAGAGCAACTGAGACCTCACAGCAATTCATTACAGAGCATATAGCGGATGCATATACTGCTCACAGCAACTCGTCATATCTCACAGTAACTCATACATAGAGCATATAGTGGATATATATATATATATATATATATATATATATATGTATAAAGGCCGTTTGGCCTGTATTTGTAGGAGGGGCATAAATTAATTCACTCCCCTATATAAAGTACAACCCTTACCTGACTCCACACCGTTCAAGGTCAGCATCTGAATGCACTTCCGGTTCATCCAGTCGCCATTTTGGAGTACTTCTGTTTCCCATTGCTGAGCTGTGTCCAGGAATCCTACTGCAGATTTCTTTTGGATAAGCTTCTTGCCTTACTATCGCCGCGGATTGCGTCCTAGTGACTGTCAAACAGTAAGTAGACCTAACCGTTACGCCAGGCAACAAGGCCCACGGCATCAATTACAGTTCAGGTCCTCACTTTACTGTCCGCGTCCGGCTAATTCTGCTCTTAAAATCTGTTTACTGTATCCGTCCGGTTTTCAACTGTTCGCTTACACTGCATTTTCGTGCATATGAATTAGAAGTTCGGTACTTAATATGATGTGCTGCATATTTCTCCCTTTCATTTTTCTCGCATAAGCATTTTCCCATAAATGTCTACGTTCGTGCGGTCAAATGCACGAACACGCTATTCACTTAAAGGCTACTGATTTTCCCTGTCACTTCCTGTTCGTGCGGTTTACATTGCACAAACAATATTCACAAATATTACTATCACTGCCAACCGGGCAGGGCTAAAAGGGGGGTTATCGCATATTGTTACATTTTGGGAACTCCACACACAAATGGGTTAAAAAATAGGTTCCAGTTACACATGTGGGTATACACATGGCTAAAGATTCCACACTGCCTCCTTCAGGTCAGTAAGGATATTGCCATCATAATAATATCACATTACTTTCCTGAACACCATACATACCTCTATTTTCACAAAGGCGTTTTAAAAATTTTATTTTATTTTTTCATTACATTTACCTTTTCTACTATATTTGCCTACCTTACAAACTTACAAACACCATCATCTGACCTATACAGGTCAATACAAACATAATCAAAGTTAATATAATTGTGACACTTGTACATATTTTACATACGGTTTCATCTATTTAGTCACAGGTACTACTATTACCTATACGGATTACCATGTTTCAATAACCTATACTACCAGGTATGTATACCTGCTTACAGTAGACCCATTAAAAAAATCTCCCACAGAACAGACAAGTACTGGCAATTAGGGTCATAGGGGCCAATAGTTAATTCCTCATAGAGAGGGCCTCACCTGTCACTCCCTTTCCTATTTTCTGGTTATAGTCACTGAGAGGCCGACATCCTGCCATAACGTTCGGTGGCCACAAAAATCCCCTTGCGCCAACCATAGATAGAGCCTCTCAAGCCGCTTGGCAACTAGTAGGGCCTCACCTGTCACCAAAAAACAATAAGCATAATGGTTTCGTCTCACGGCATAGCTAGTAGCCAGTACTAAACTACTAGGTTCAAATAATAAATTTATCTTTCATTTTATTCAAGTATGTCTCATGAAGGTGATGAAGAGCTATCTCTTCATGGCACCCCAACCAGGGTCGAGACACCCTCTCGTAGGGGAGATATTGCCAGTCCGACATCAATCAGATCCTGGACGATCCCACGTATCACTACCGAGTTGAGGAGGTGACAAATCCACTACCTTGCCATAGCAAGGAAAGCGGAGCTATTTAAAATCCTAAGCACTACAATCGACAACACGGAAGCAGGGGAAGGCCCCAGCAACACTAATTCAGGTGATATACAGGCTATGCTGGCCTCGCTCATGACCTCTATGGGCAAGGTCAATGACAGACTGGCTAACCTCGAGGCGGTCACCACAGCCCTCACCAAGGCTGGTCTTCCTGATACTACTCAACAGGCACCAACCGAACCACGGGCCACGGGTATGGTTATCTCTTCAGATTATCAGGACGTTGACCCTGCTTACACTATCCCAGCCCACATTAAGAGAGACATCCTGGAAGGCAAAGATGTCAACATAGCATCCCTACTAATTGCCTCCCAGGATGTGGTGGAGAATAAAACCTATATGTACGATGAAGTATCTGTAGTGGTCAGATCCAAAGACGCAAGGTTAAACCGTAAACTGACCACTCCAGAATTTGTATTAGCCTTTGGTATTTTTAGAGATGTAATTTGTGAAGTGTATCCTAATAGAAGGGAAGAGTTTGATCGCTATATGCACAAAATATGGAACAGAATTCTCAGAAGAACGTGAGGAGGAAATATATGTATCATAAGAATACATATAGTTTTTATTAAAAAATTAAGACAAAGTAGGGACTGTTTCTCTTCTGGAGGTTTCCTACGCCATGACCAGCTATGACCAGCGGAGGAGCAAAGTGTGCTTCGTTTCCGGTGGTCAGAAATTTTCCCACAATCCTTAGCTATCCTCCCTGTTACCACAATGCTTCCTGTCAGTATTGCCGAACGTCCTGTCATTTATACAGAATGCTGGCAAAACTGCCGAATTGCATCCTAACAGAATGAGAACAGTTTGTCCATTCGTGTTAGAATGCAATTCCGGACTTATCAGAATTTAATTCGAATGAATGAAACTCCGATCCTATTCGTGCTGTGGCTGCATCTTGCAGCCGCTTAGTAGATAGCTCCCTAATTCCCACAGTATTAGGGAGCTATCTACCAAAAGGCTGAAAGACCTAAATAAAATATAAAAAAAAGATTACTTAGTAAATTCTGCCCCTACTAGCTATACCGCGAGTAGGGGCATGTCTAGTAAATTTTTTTAAAATAAATAAATTAATTAATTAAACAGAAGGGGGAACCTAGAGCCCCCCCCCAGCCACCACCCCTGAACAGCAGGTGGGGCCCTAAATGTGAAATTTGAGGAGGACCTATTGTCCTCCCCCCGGCCCACATCCCTGAGCGGCCAGTGGGGACCCTAAAGGATAAGGGGGGGACCTATTGTCCTCACCCCCGGCCCCCACCCCGCGCAGCAAATGGGGGCCCTAAATAACAATAATGGGGGGAACCTACTCTCCCTCCCCCTGGCCCCCAACCCTGCATGGCGGGTGAGGTCCCTAAATAACAACAATGGGGGGGACCTACTGTCCTCCCCCCCGGCCCCCACCCCTGAGTGGCGGGTGGGGGCCCTAAATAAGAATAAGGGGGGCCTATTGTCCTCCCCCCAGCCAGAACCCCTGAGCGGTGGGTGGGGGCCTTAAGGAGACTAGGGGTCCCCAAACCCCTAGTCACCCCCCACCCAAATAAAAAGTTATCCCTTACACCCCCCCTCACCCTTAAAATAGTGAGGAAAGAATAAAATAATTAACCTGTAAAGAAAAATAAAACTTACCATTTGATGTCTTATTTTTTCTAAAATCTTAATTTTTCAGCCCCCAAAA